GTGGGGCGGGAGGGGCAGGGTGGGGCGCACACTTGTTGACTTTAACGGGCTGCGGGGCACCTCACACACGGCCCCTTCCCTCTTCTCCCGCGGCCACATAAACTCGTCGAACTATTGGGGAAATGTCGCTGCTCCACTTTTTCTTGTTGCGAAAGGCAATAGCGACGGTCTGGAAAGAAAGGAGGGAGTTGGGGGAGGAGGGGGGGGGGGGCAAACACCATAGGAAAAATTGATACAATACGATATTTATCAAAAGAAATAAAGCGCCTATAGAACCCCAGCATGGTCAAAATGATTGACTAGATAGTAGACAGAAAACATAACTGTTAATTAAAGGAGAGAAAACACCAAGAACTATATAACCTTATATTTGGATACAACCCAAAATAGCAACTAAAATACACATAAATACCAACAAATGAAAAATTTCTATACTATGTAATTTTGAAAACCTTATCATTCTCCTCACTCACATCAACCATGCATCTCATGCATCGACTAGGTACGTTCTATTAAATAACACAAAACAATCAAAAATATATAGACAACCAAATCAGGGAGAAGACTCTTTCAAATGGCAGTTGCAGTATTTAACCGAGGAACGCATAGCAAACATTTATCTGCAATAATGTTGTTAAGTTTGAGAACTTCGCTCATTTCATGAATTTCCTGATCAATAGAAAAAGTAGCACAGGTTCTAGCGAGCAAACTCATCATTTCTTTGTGCATTGCCGGATGGCAGCCCAGGGCGCAAAATTCGCAAGCATCTTGCAAGCAGAACATACTTGCTCGAACGGCCAGCTCCAACAGAGGTTTTGACGACAGAAGTGCCTGCACTAAGTCCCTGTGCATGTACTGCCCGTGGACGCATTTTTTCTCCTCCGAACAAGGGACCAGCACGAGGTAAATCAGAGCGGGGGCAGTGAGGGAGGTGATGGCTACCAGGAGCTCGTCCGGAGCTCCATCGAACTCCAGGTACATCAGGGCTGGCAGCTTCGGCAGGTCGTCTATCAGCGGCCGCAGATCGTCGTACTCTCCACCGCGCCCATTAGGATCCACGTTCCTCAACGCCAAGGACACCAACTGAGAGCCCCCGGACGATGCCAGGGCCGCAACCAGGTCGAGGCCAGCCCTCCTGCTGGCGCTGTCGCCGTAGTGCAGAGTGACAGTTTTTAGCTTAGTGGCGTGGCGGAGGAACTTGACGGCGCTCGGGGTGGCCGGCCGCTCGCCCTGCTCTACGATGAGAAGGCAGACATCTGTGAGCCACGGGCACGCAGCCGCGGCCTCCAGGCCGGGGAGCATTGGGCAGTACAACCTACACAGGTATGGCATGTTGGCGAGCAGGTGTAACGTGATGGTGGGAGCGTCGTGAGGAAGTTCTGTATAGAGCTCTAACGCCACCTCCGTCAAGGTAGCTGCGTGCGCGGCCAGGACGAAGCAACAGAAGGGAATCGATTGCGCGCTAAGGTGGCACGTAAAACGGCAAAGCGATGAACTGGGCGCGGATCTTGGTTGGCAGACCGGTTCAGAAAGGGAAAGGCCATCCAGCACCATCGGAACGTCAAGCGTCTGCAGCCCGGCCGTCAACGCAGCCGTCCAGAGCAATGCAGTGGGATCACCGAGAGGATCATCCTCATCTTCATACATGTTCCCTTCAGCGCCGGGTACGTCGAGCCAGTCGAGCACAAGGCACTTCAGCCGTCCGAGCGCCTCCTGGTTACGGATAACAAGGGCAGCATCCTGGTAGCCCGTTCGAGTCAGAGGCCCCCTGAGATCTCCCTCGCTGTTCGTGGGCGGTGGAGGTTCCTCCGCCCAGTGGAAATGGAGAGACAATCCGAACACGGCACATCTAGTTGACGTATACAGAGCGGTGCGCTCCGCCGACATACATTGGTCGACGCGCAGTGCGATGGAATGCAGGCACGGTGCCAGGCGCAGCACCGGGCAGACCCACGGGTCGCCGCTGGAGACGGCGCGGTGCCGCCAGGCGTGCGGGTGCAGGGCCAGCCACCCGAGCCTCTTGCACACGAGGCGGCACGTCAGCAGGTCCGGCACGTCCAAGTAGCGCATCAGCTCCAGCACCACCTCGTCAGGAAGACGCTCCATGCCCTGGAAAACAAAGCGGGCCGGGCTGCTGTTAGTATTCCGGAATATGCCATCTGATCCGCACGGTGAAAGTGAAAATTGTTCCTTCTTGTCAAAGGAACATCGGAACGCTCAAGGATTGTCGTTGGTGGTTATCGGACCCTTCTTCGAGATATTCTGAAACCGCAATAACCGGCAAAGGCAACAGCTGTATGGCTCCATGGCCACGATCACAAAGTATCGAGGCGTGCAAACGGGTTGCATGCGCTAGGGCGCACTCACTCTTAAAATCGATCAGGGTCGTAATGATACACTGGAAATCCAATTGCACGAATGTCGCTCACCTACAAGCGTGTGAATGTGCGAATTTTTTCACACACTTGCAGGTGCGTGACATTTGGAGTCGTCGACCTCTCTCGCGGTAATCCAAGTGTACGAATGTCACGCCCCAGGTAGTGATAGGTACTTAAGGATCGTGCTATTGAACTACCTTGGACTTTGAAAAGAGATGGGATTTGCTCACGCAAGTTGACGTTATTTCCACACCGTTGTCGATACGACTTAAAATTTCCTGGTGGGTTTAGGTCGTTAAGTCGGAAGAAGATTAAAAAGTTGTAGTGTGTAGCTTATAGTAGATCTACTTTGTAAAAATTAGATGGTAGATTTTTATTAATCAAAAATACATAGCCATTAAAGCTTTCATTAAAAAAGGGTGTACAGCAAAACATACAACAAAAGAAAATGGTTTTACATGACGAGACAACTGTCATTATACTTGGGTAACATAGAACACAATTCGATATCACGTGCGTGTTTTGTTATGAATTAAGCCAAAAGAAAAGGAACAAATCATGAAATAACAAGCTAAATCCAGGGTGAACATTTTCAATCTTCAACTTCACTATTTAATAGAGGAATATTGATCCAATGGGTTGCCCCAAAAAAGTGCTTTTCACCAGTTTCATCCTCATTATCATCACTATCAACTCTTTCATATTCAACATCACTTTCATCATCGCTATACGGGCACAAGTTCATCCACATCTCAAAGCGATGGCAGCCCAGTGCGCAGTACTCACAAAGATGGCTCTTCGAGCAGTAAAACGGCATAAGCAGATACAGCTCAAACACAGAGTTCGACGATAGAATGGTCTGTACTAGGTCATTGTGCATGTAGCCGTGGGCACACCTCGGGCCTTGCTTCCACGCTGGCTGCAACCGGAGGGTCTGCAGAGCAGGGAGTCTACCGGCTGCGACGGCCTTCAGAAGCTCACCCGGTGCCGTGTCGAGCTGCAGGTACTTCAGGGCTGGCAACATCTCCAACGCTCTGAGCAGCCCCTGCAGGTTGGCGTACACCTGACCGTCACCTAACGGGTTGTAAAACTTGAGCGACTCTACGCCGGACCGGCCGGAGGACGCCAGGGCCACGACTAGGTCCACAGCCACGGGCCTGCTTGCATTCGCGTCCACGCAGAACTCCAGGGTCACATCACGCAGCTGCGTGGCGCGGCGCAGGAACTCGGCGGCGCTCGGGTTGGTCGACAAATCATAGGGTCCCAGGCAGATAGACACCTTTCTCAGCAACTCGCATGCCGCCACGGCCTCCAGTCCCGGCAGTTGGGGACAATCAAGCCGACGTAGATTTGGCATGTCGGCGAGCAGGGGCGCCATCGAGGAAGGGGTGGAAATGGTGATCCCGAGGGTTACGTCCTCCAAGGTAGCGCCGTGCGCGGCAAGCACGAAGGTAATGAAGGGCTCCTTATCTGGGCTGAGGCGGCAGTGAACACGCCTGAGGGACGCCCTGGGCGCAGACCGGTGTTGACAGTCGGTGGAGAGTTTGTTGTTTACCCACATCGGAACTTCAAGCGACTCCAGACCGGAAGTGAAAGCCACCGTCCAGAGTAAGACGGAGGGATCGCCGACATCTTCGAAGGTGATTTTGAGGTGTTTAAGCCCTCCGAGTGCCTCTTGGTTGCGTATGATCAGTGCAGCTTGCAGCTTGCTCATGGCTTTCTTGGTGAAGACGGACAGATCTAGCTTCGAGACGGAACACGCGGTTGTGGTGTACAGCACGATGCGCTCCGCAGAAGTCGTCTTTCTGATGCACAGATCCAGACCCGCGAGGCGCGGGGCCAGGCGCAGCGCCGGACAGAACCAGGGGTCGTTGTCACCGCGCAGGGTCCGATGTAGCCACACATTCGGGGCCAAAGCCAGGCCCGCGAGCCTCTTGCAGACGGGGCGGCACTTGAGCAGGTCCGGCACGTCCAGGTAGCGCAGCACCTGCAGCAGCACGTCATCCGGCAGCTGCTCCATGCTCTGGAAAACAAACGGCCCGTGGAGTCAGCTGCTTGGCTTGGGGGGGGGGGGTCAAAGGGGCGGGGGCGAGGACGGGACAATCCTCGCGTTATTATTGTTGAACTGCTCGGGTGAACGAGGCGTTTCCGGCCACCGCCGAAACTATAGCCTTAACAGCTACGTGCGCAATAGGAATAGCAGTCAGCAGCTACAGCTCAGCGCCTGCTAGACTACCTCCGTAAAGTTGGCACCACCCATAGCCGATGGATATTAGTGCTATCTCTCTTCTTTTCGTGCTCAATTATTACTTTCAAACTGTCCTATTTTTTAGAATCAGTGCTACTAAGGCTAGCGTCTAAAACGATTTAGAATGCGGACGGTGCCAGCTTCCCGCTAACACAGCCCAATTACGCTAGAAATTAGTGCTGCAGCACACCTTATAGTGCTCAATCAGTTCTTTCGAACTATCCTATTTTGAGAATTAGTGCCATTAAAGCAAGCGTCGAAAACGGCTGAGAACGTGGTCGGTGCCAGCTTCACGCTGCACCACTCAATTATCTCACGGCGCCG